GACATAGCTTCATTCATGCAGAAATTCACAACTCTGTGGCTAGGCAGTGCTTATCTTTTCATCTGATGAATTGTTTTTCATCTTTGCATTAACACCAGTGGAACTTCCTTTAATCATGCACCTATAATGCACGTGATCAGCTATGAAAACACCCTGTAGCCCTCACACATACAGAAGGAATAGGAAAACCATACACATATATACTCAGGTTTCCTCAGCTAACCCACATATTGCCAGGGCCAAATTCTGATAACTCAGCTTTTTTCTACTACCTTTTTACACAGTAATTTGTCAGACTTGCAGCTTTCTTGTTCTATCATCTATTAGCTCAGTTCAAACACTACCATTTACTAGGCTTTACTCAATATAATCCTTTCAATTTTCCCTACTGAATTTCAAGTTTCATTCCTCAAATATCCTCCAAACCTCATTTCATGCGATTGTGCCAATACACTTCAAATTGATAGGCTTCAATCCAGTAAAATAAATGGCAGGAGGTTGAAACACGACTGGAGAAACTGTATTTGCCCAGACAATCTACCAGAATACTTGGAAAATAAACTGTGGGTCTCATCATTTTTAAATTTCTTTATGATGAATCCAAGGTCAATACTGTAGATCTGTGCATTATGATAAAGCATCCTCTCGGGGTGGGATTTGTTACGCTACTTCTGTTTAGTAAAAGGGAATGCTAGGTGTCTCCAGCAGGTTTTCAAGAGGCAAGTATAGATGATATGTACTTTCTGACATAAAAACATTTAGGCACATGACACAGTCGCATTGATTATATGAATTAAAGTGCTGTTACTTTCACCCTTTCAAAAAAACTCCCTAAAGCTGGTGAAGAAATAAAATAGGCCCATATTATGGGTGCTTTGTATTATGAGCCAGAGGGGGCAACCCTGAATGCAGGTAAACAGAGCCCAGGGCTCAGAAAGGTGAAAAGTGGTAAAATAGACAGCAACAAAGGACTATTTCTAGATTGATGGAATGGGGGCATCTGAGTGGGTCAGTTAAGCCTCCGACTCTTGATTTTGGCTCAGGCCATGATCTTGGGGTCACGGAGCCCCACATCAGCTCCATGCTCAGCCCAGAGTCTGCTTGAGACTCTCTTTCTACCTCTCCTTCTCCTCCTCCCTCTAGTTTAAAAAAAAAAAAAAAAAAGAAGAAATAAAAAGGACCTAGTATAGAATAATAAATTAATGAAATGATTTACTATAATGAACAACCCATTTTGAACATATGCATTTTAATTCTGAAAGTAAATTATTAAATTTAATTATTTCGATGTATTTTTCCACCAAAATTGAAACCAATGCAGTGGGAAGGACGGGAAGGAGAGTGTTTGCCCTTTGGTAGTGTTTTAAGCAGCAGGCCTGCATGCAGGAGAAAAGGAAGTGGAGGCCATGAGCTCTGCAGAGACACCACACCAGCTGACTACCTGATAGGATGATCAGATTGAGGGCCAGGCTGAAACCAAATGAATGAATAATTGATAAGAATATCAAATGAGTGAAGCAGCAGTTCAGAAAGGCACAAGCCACTAAATTAGAGAGATGAGTCCTGAATGCCAACATCTACCTCAGTTAGCTTTTCGCCATGGTTACCTGTCATTTTTGTTAGAATTCTTAGAATTTTTGTCATTTTCTTTAAGTTGGTAGGGTAAATTAGACATATTTTCCTCATTGATCACTACCTACCTAGGCTGAGATATACACAGCAAACACTTTTCCCACTAAAAATTAAACTCAGGAAAATCACAAGGGAATTTCAAAGTTTCCTTTCACACAGTACACTCTGAAGACAAAAAAAGGAAACTTCATTAGACTTTCTAATAAATTCATATATTCACTAATAAGTATTTAATGTATAACTGACCTAGTTCCACTGGCAAAAACTGTTTATGTAATATAAGCTACATAAATCCTTCAACATAAAAAAATTATTTTTATTTACTGTTCCAGAAATAGGAACATCTATTTCATTTTATTTTGATGTCATTATGAGCTAAAGTAAAAATAAGACTGTAACATAAACTTCCTGAAGTTAGGTGTGTGTGTGTGTGTGTGTGTGTACCTATATCTGTATTTGTGTGTGTGTGTGTGTGTGTGTGGTTTTTAATTGTTTTAGAAAGGGAAGTTATATTTCAGATCCTTTGTATTTCCTTCTTTATCAGAAGTCCTCAGAGAATTCTGAAAACACATGGGGGACTGGTTCATGCTGGTTCTTCTCTTTAGGTAAAATTACATAAATATTTTCACTTACAACAAATATCCCTCCAGGCTTATTGTTGTTGTCATTGTTATTGTTTGTAGTTTCTAACTTTCCACAAAATATTTTTACTTTGAGTAAAGAGTCTTTTAAAAATTCATTTGACAGCTGACCCCATTTATCAACATGCACAAGATCAGCGATAGTCCCAGGGGAGAGGCATCCTCCTTGCAGAGAAGTACATACATTCAGTGAGCCTTTACTGAGCATCTTCTTCATGCCCAACATACTGCTACGATATGAACATGACACCCATCGGTCTAGTTAGTTTGCATATATTGCATATTCATGTGTATATTCAATCATTCATTTAATAGGTACATAATGATACCATAACAAGTGCCAGGAATTGTTCTAGTCCAGAGTTAGAATTATAAATACAACATATATTCAGTCTTCTGGGCACTCACATATTAATAGAAGAGAAGGGAAATGCCTACCAAAAAACCTCTGCAATAACTGCATTCTGAGAAACAGGTCAGAGATACTGCAGTAGCACAGAGGAAAGATGATTAACTTTACACAGAGCCATCAAGGAAATCTCTATGGCCACTGGGCATGCTCAAGGCTAGACAAATAAGGAATCTGATTTTCTCATTCATTCGGGCAGCAAGTTTCCTACCAATGTGTCTCAAATCATTCTAAAAGAATACCACCTTCAGACCACCCACCAAATGTCTCTGTCTCTGGGCACAGTTACCACTTGGCATCTGCTGAGATGTGCAGCAAGGGTATTAATTACAGCTCGCCATGTGATTAATGTGGCTGATAGTTCCTGATGAGGTCAGTGTGTTTTGTGGATCTTAGATTAATGATTCCAATTTGACAGACAGCAAGCCACTAAATGGTTACCAGGTGGCAAAAATATTGTGTTACCCTAGACAGAACCAAAGAGAGTAACATAGCTAAGAAAGCAACTCAGAGCAGGATTAATTACTTGAAAACAGTTTTCTCATATTTTACCAAATAATCTTAATTTTTTCCCATCTTCATTTTTAAGAAACAAATTAACTTGTCAGTGTTCTCTACAAAAAATCAGGTAAAGTATTTGATAACAAAATGTAGATTTGACTTCACAGAAGCATAATGAGGAATACCATTTTAGTCTGCACAGTCTAGCCATCTAATAGAAGAGGCCACATAAATATTAAGTAATTTAACCTTACTACTTACATAGTTAACCATTTAAATTGACTAAGCACATTTATGAGAAGATAGCAAAAGATATTTCCTGAGATTCTGTAGGAAAATTCTATTTGTATATTTTCTTAAATTAAGTAACTAATTAAAAAATATTTTTAAAATTTTTTAAAAATTAAAAAACAGAAGCCAAGAGAGAAAAGTCTGACAGAAGAAAACTGAATGGAACAGAATTAATTGTATTTCTGCTTCCTGTTTGCTAAAAACTGCAAAAATCCCAACACACAATGCTCTTAGATCTTCCCCAGGGCATGAGCTCATTGAGGAAGTAACCATTCATTACTTACTCTTATATTCCCAGCACTGAGAATAAGATCCAATATAGGGGTTGAATAATTTTGTTGAGTCATTTACCAATCATATCTGGACTATGAAGACTTGGCCTTGACATGTATGCCACTGGCCATGTGAGACTCGGCTTTTTACATCCAGAGTCAATCTGCAAAGAGGTAGATATGGTCTGTCACCAAGCACACACAAACACAATGTGTGAGGCTGTAATAAAAACAGAACTTACAGTCACTCTCCTTCAGGACCTTAATACATTTGCTGAAACAGGTTGGCTGTTGGTTGGTAGGAATATTTTGTGTCCCAGACACATTTCACCCTACAATGCTCTGTATGTGCTTTACTCAGAAATGCTGACCTAACTCATGACCTCTCTCCACTTATGCAGCTTTCATCATCATAAATACGACTGCTGAAGTGATAATAAAATCTCATATGATCAGCCACAATGACACTTTTTCAAAGGACAGTGGATTGTGCCATTCTGCAGCTAAAACCCTATAGTGACTCCCCCATTTCCCTTAAGGTAAAATCCAATGTTCATGCAAAACCTGGCCTCTGTCACATCGGGGAGGGTATGTGCTATGGTGAATGCTGTGAAATGTGTAAGCCTGAGGATTCACAGACCTGTACCCTATACATTATATGTTAATTAAAAAAAAAAAAAAAACCTGGCTTCCGTCACTTCCCAGACCCCTCCCACTCTTCTCTGAGCATGGTAGCAGGGTCTCCTGCCTGAGCTTCTGTACCATGCTCACTGTTGCCTTATCCTAGAACGCTATTTTTACTCCATTCCTGTGTTCCTGTCTTTGCCCAAAGGTGACTCTCTCGATGAGATTTACCCTACTCACCTTATTTACAACTGGAACACTTCTCACCCTGTACCTCTCATCCCCCTTATTCTGTTTTATTTCCTGCACAGAATTTACAATCTCTAACATATTATACACATACTTACGAAGTTTAGGATTGACCTCACTTTACTAGAAGGTAAAGTCTATACAAAGATGTTTACCTCTTCTGTTCTTTGCTGTATCCTCAGTGCCAAAAAGAGTGTCTGACACATAGGACGCATTCAGTATTATTAAACAAATTGATCAATCAATGTAGTAACTACCCTGGCCTTTGCACATAAAAGCTGCACATAAGAAGCTAACAGAAATTAGAAAAAATTAGAGTTTAATTTCTCGCTGGGATGGAAGAGGAAGGGATCACAAGAGAAGCCATGCTAGAAATGCTCCTTGAGCAATTATCATAAAAGATTTTCACAGGCATCCAGTAAACACTCTACCTACAAGGAAAGAAAAAGAAAAAAAAAACTCTAAAAAGAAATGCTCCTTATCTTGAAATCACTTTGAAGGGTTTTGGAACAATGATGAATGTCTATGCATGCTACACAGAAATTTACCAGCAAAGGAAGACTCTTTTCCAGATTTCATCTGCCAAAGCTTCAGGCAGTCTACCCTTGCAGAAAACACACCTTCTAATGGAATATATACAGAGACAGAGAGGGAGAGAATCATGTTTCTGTCACCATTTTAGCCCTATATTAACTAGCTCACAGTCACTTACCAAATGATTTTTAATAACTAATTCATACCTGTAAAAGCCTACACATCTATGAAAGATTCCTTCATTTATTTTCATAATCAATTTTAATGTATTATGATTTTTATAAAAGATCTAGAATAGAACATCAAATTATAATCTCATGCTATAAAATTAAAAAAAAATTCAACTAACAGCAATTACTTGAAAGCCTTGTTCAAAACAAATTAGGTGAGAGCTGGAAGTAGTCAATATCCTTAGCAATATGCCTAGATTGGTTCTAAACTATGATGAATTTCCACTATATATTGTTCTCTATTTCCTCACACTCAGGATATTTTGGGCTTTTGGTGTATAAAACTGGTGTAAGAATCTTGACTGAACAATTAATCATAAAAGCAAAAACTGTTTTTAAATCCCCTTGGAAATATAAAACTGTTAAATCACTGTTAATTCCACATTTAATTTAGTTATATGTCATTTAAATCTATGATGCCATCAATTACATGATGCATAATTATTCTGTATCACTAAGAAGGAATAAAACATTGCCAATTATAATTGTACAATATCTTTGACTATAAGATATATCCCAATTTCAGAGATTTTAAAGTGGGGGAAATGTATATATGAATCAATGAGTCATTCACTGGTATTTAGGGTAGTTATAACCAGGGCGGCCAATTTTTTTTTTTTTCTACTAGGGAAACAGTGAGAGCAAATTAATTTCTTGAGTAAGCTACTACTTAGTAAGAATACTCTTGTGACACTACAGGTTATCAAACACTACACCAGACTCAAGGCTAATTGTGGAATAATCCTAGAATGAAATAATTCTGACTTGTATGAGCCATACAGTTAATCATGATCCACAAGGACAAGATCTACAAGAAATCGGTCTGGATATAAAAGAAATTACATTTTAGCTACAGTCTTTTGAAGGAAATACCATGCTTCCCACAAAGTATTATCTTAGGATAATACTGGTTCTTCTTAAATTCATGAAGTGATTGATTTTCTCAAATTGCTTTTATTAGAATTTTGAATTTTCACAAAATGGCTTTGTCTAATGAAAATATTCACCAATATGATCGTCTATATCCAATTTTTCTTCATGCTGTGCTCTAATGGGAAACTAGAAAATGTCATCCTAAAAATTGTTTTGACAAATAGCAGGTAAATCACATAACATAAGCAAGATAATGCTTAAAATGGGAGAGGATCTGGCAGCCAAATAGCCAAGAAAGAAAAATGAAAAGTACCAGTATGAAGACTGAAAGCATTTACAGAATTTCAAGAATGTGTGACTAGATCTTTCAAAATGGGAATTATAAACAATAAGAAATGTCATGCAGCAATTTCATTTTATGTAGAACCATGTAAGTAAATATACCATTTGATTTAATAATGAAGATATGAAAAAGATAAACTGTTAACAAAATATAGTCTGCCATATCTCCTTTCAGCAATGGTGTATACATTTTAAAAGGAGAAAGTCCATAGATGTAAGATTAAAAAACATTATTCATCTCGTTCTCACAGCAGGGTGACTAAGCCTGCTGTCACCAAACATGTTACCTCCCTGTTCCCTGATGGAGTCCCTTTAATAGGATGAGATGAATGCAAGTGTTTAACTATTTTAACATATCAACAACAGAAAATAAAAGCAGCTATTGAAACATGATCTGGCTTCCCACTAATTGAATATGTGTATGTCTTTAGACAGACAAGCGCTGATGCCTAGAATTTTTATAGTGCCATAGGAATCAAGGTTTACCAATTAAACAGCAAATTAGTTTCCATACCATGGAGGTCTCTTGATCCTTGGCCAATCCCTCATAAACAGAAGCGTTTCACATTGGTCAGGGAGTCCGTGCATGTTAATTTTAAATGCATGCTGAATCTAAATCATGATTTCAAAAGTTCACCACTTTCTGACTAATGTTGGTTCAAACACAGGAAAACACTGAAATTATGACTAGGTCTCACTGCCTTGGACATGCCTATAGTAATGTGAGAGTCTCTAGAATCCAGAAAACCTGTCTGGAATGCAAGACACCTTACTATAAAGTCTACAGCCTTTTTGTTCTCTAAAGCACCCACAAATGAATGAAGTATCACTTGGGAACAGTCTCTTAGAAAAAGTCAGAGCATTAGTTCTACAAATGAGCTACTTCCAAATTTTTAAAGTTTGGGCCCTGAATTATCCATAAGTCAAAATGGAAAATAAAACTCCCTCTAGTCCCCATTCTTTAATTTACTTCTCTTTTTTACCAGTCTGTTCTTTTCTCATTGGCTCCCTCTGCCTAAGTTTCCCAATGTTTTTTTTACCCAATCTCTCCTCACAGAGAACAACTTGATAAACTTTTGCCAAGTAAGGACGTAACAAATTATTTCTTCTAGTAACATGTAGATTTCAAAAGAGGATAGTCTAGAGGATTAATATTGTATCACTAACACTGGGATTTCTAGAGATGGCTTTTAGATAACAAAGAACAAAACTTAGCCTCATTTATATAAAGTTGAACCATATCTCATATTTCACATGCCTCAACTATGTTTCCTCCAGATTTCATGACCTATTATTAAGAATTTCACATGGAAATGTGTAGAATTTTCCAGATTAGACAGGGAAGAAAGTATTCGCATGTACAGTTTCATGAAACTCACATGGTTCAGTACAAAAAGAGTTTGGTATTAGGGAACAATTTTGAACTCCAACAAGTAGTTCTACAGAATTTTAACACCCATTATTATAAATGTTTTCATTCTGTCTAATAAGTGGACGAGGTAATGAGATAAGAATAACAGCCTTTCATCAAGCGTAATGTAATTTCCTTTTTACTATCATATCCTTTAAAGTAGGGGTTATAGCCTGGGAGCATCTAAGAAAGTGTGGCCAAAGGCAAAAAAAAAAAAAAAAAAAGTTTTGTGGTTTATAATACTTTAACACTGATTATATGTTTTTAGTCAAAATTTTCCTTTAAAGTAGCCCCAATTTGTGGCCACAATTCTGGATTTTCAGTCTTCATACCAAGGAAGAAAGGAAGGAAGGAAGGAAGTGGGGGAAGGGAGAAAGAAAGGAAGAAAGAAAAAAAGGAGAAAGAGGAAGGGGAAAAGGTGAAGGAGGTTGAAGAAGGGGAGTGACACCTTTCTCTTGTACAACAGAATCTCTTTCTTGAATATCAAAACTGGCCAAGTCAACAAATTCCAGTGTCGAAGTTTACACCGGGGTATGAGGCAACAGGAGGTTTATCCACTGAAACAACTTTGCCAGAAATTGAACCTCAGCCTCTTCAATAAGGTGGTTCCCAGTCCCAGATACACATTCAAATCACCTGGTAAGGTATAACACTGTCAGATGTGCTGGAGCTGTCCCTGAAGTTCTGTTGGCACTGGCCTGGAGGCAGCCTGGACATTAGGAGGCTGGAGAGCTCCCCAGGGATTTGTAAGTACAGGTACTCAGCATACATCCAAGGACAGAAGACAGAGCTATCCTGGCACCTGTTTGAGCTGACTGACGGAGCTTGACAGATGGAGCCCCAGCCTCAGGATGCTGAATCTTCCTAGCATCCCGTGTTTACGCAGTGAAACGGGAACAATAGTGGAAGCAGTTTTATATGGTAGCTCTCTGACCCACTAATCAATTCCTCCCTCCTTCTCTCTCTCTCTCTCTGTGTCTCATTCTCTCTCTCCTGACTCATGCTGCAGTAGAGGAAGATACAAACAGCCCAGCCAATAAAGGACCATTGCCACCGGATTGCCTTTCTTTGACTACGGTAAAGAGCCTTTCAGAAATGCAGACCGTGCAGGAACAAGGCTGCCATCTGGAGGCCTTCCTGGCCATCTCACACGTCTTTCTCCAAAAAGAAATATGAATGACAATCATTGCCCTCCACTTCATTTGCATACTAGACACACAAGCTTAAATATTCCCCCTCTGCGGTGCTGGGGGTGCTTTGCGGTGACAGGCAGACCTGGAGGGGAGAGCTAGCACTCTCTGTGGATACAGTGGAACACACACCTTTAAACATTTTTCATCCACAGGTCTGTCTTCAAAGTTCACTTTAAAGGACTTTCAGGAGACAGGTTAGCTCAAATGGAGCTGAGAGTTTTGTTACCTAGAAAGATATAATACAGCAGTTCTCAAAGAATTTGCATTCCTAACACATTCCCAGGTGAGTTGCTGGTCCAATGACTGCACCTTTGAGGACCACTTGACAAACTAAAAAATTAGTTAACTGTTAACATTTCCTGATCTAATAAACCCACCTGAGACAAGACTTGGTGAAATATCCATAGACTGGGGCTGCAGCCAGGGTCAAAAGATGATGTCACTTTGGGATTGTTTGTAGATATCAGTGGACTAACATAAAGGAACCAAAAATACCAGCAAAGAAGTGGCCTAGATGAAGATTGGGCCAAAAAAGACTTCTTCGTTTTTTGACCTATGACCTCTAGGGGCCTCTGGGAATGCGTGGTCTCTTACCCAAATCTCAAATCATCCCAGTCCATTGAGTTTAGCAGGGAACAGACATGATTCGCAAGCAAAAATGACAAACTACAACAGATTTCAAACTGATGGGTTTTACAGAGACATAGCAACTAAAGATATATTGGTTTGCATTCCAATATCGCCATCTAGTGGAAGCTTGTTTTACACCAAACCACCTAAAATGGTAGTGATTTACTTTTTGACAGGAAGAGGGCCTCACCATTTACTAATTGTGATACAATCTAGAAGGACAAGTAAACAAAAAACAGTAAATCGAGGCTATGTGAAAGACATTTTTGCGATCATGCATAATGTGTTCTATGAAAACAGCAAAGCTATTAGCTGAGAAATCTACATACACTGAGAAATGAGTACAACTAACTTTTCCAGAATACACAGGCAAGAATAGGTACTGTAAACAGGGAAATTACATCAAACATTATGCTCATGTGTTGTCTTAATATGCTAATGCCTGAAACTTCCTCATAATAACTGATAAATAATTGTGAAAATAAGAAAAAGAAGCTCAAGTTCTGCATAACTTGTAAAATTCATATGATTCTATACATGTATGTGTATATATAATTCATGTAATGATTCACATAACCACATACCTTATTAAACAGTTCGATAAAATGAATTCTCAATTCTCTATTATGGACCCCAGGAAGAGACAGAGTAAGAAGGAAAAGAGAGATACTAAATCACTGCTGCTAGCCCCGAGTAAAGATTAAAAAGGAAAAAAATGTTTAAATTCAAGATGTTAAAAGTCTGCCACACTGGCCTAGAATTCTGTTCTAGGTGAGCTGATAGTTTAAGGGTAACTATTCGCTGAACATTCAGTTAAACATTAACAAGATGCAATTTTATTTTTTTCTAAACATCGCTCTAAATGTGATTAGTTGACAGCTGCTTTCCTGCCTCTGAACATCTCAGGCAGGTTCCATCAATGTTTGATCATCTCCATGATTAAAAAATATATAAAATTTTACCTAGTCTAAGCTAGTGAAACTGGTGATGCACAGGGGTCTCATCTGACCCTTCTCCTCTGACTCCAATGTTATGAAGCCAAACTGGGAAATTGTTAGAAACGCAAATTCTCAGGCCCAAGTCAAAAGGAAAAAGTTTCTCTCAACATGTGTCATATGCAATCAAATGCAGAGTCTTCCATTCTGTGTTTAAAAAAATAACATACAGTTGCCTTGATACTACACTGCTTGGTCCCAAACTCCTTGTCAGGTATTTTTATAAATATTATTAATAAGATTTTTCCTAGGCCATATTTCCTACCTCAAGTGAGATTTCAGTATGTCCAAGATTTTTTAAATTACATTTAAGAAAGTATATGTAACTCTATAGAGAACCCCCGAATATATTTCAGTACCTTCAGCTAAGGTTTTATTAAACTGTGTTTCTATTTCATGTAACAAAAATCCCTGTTCTAATAAATCTTCATTGAATTTTATATGTGCCCAGCGCTCTGCTTTGAATGAAAGGTAAGTATCTTAGGTTGGGCTCCCAAGAGGCAGACTCTGAGATGAAGATTCATGAGCAAGTGATTTATTAAGAAGGAGCTCCCAAGAGAAATCAGTAAGGGAGAAGGGGAAGCAGAACAGCGAGAAGCCCTGCAAGGATGTATTTCAGACTAAGTCCCATGGAGGGTACCCCTAATCCTGCAGGAAACTCTGACATTTATTCAAACAAAGCAAAGGAGTTGGGCTTCCTTTATTCCCAAGCACATGACTCATGAGATAAGGAGTCTGAGGTTGGCCTGGCAAAGAAGTCCAGGTGCCAGCCACTGGAATTAAATCCATGCCAAGGCTGCAGGAGGTGCCAAAAGATAGGTGAGAGATAGACAAGAGGATCTGGGTAGAGCACCAACAGTCTATTCTTTAATCAGCATAAAATGTGTTTGCTTTCTACTGGCATATTACATTCTATGTGAATAACAGATAATAAGAACAGTAATAATAACAGATGTTAATATTAACAACTGAAGGCCAAAGATCAAATATAGCCAAGTACTAAGTTAAGGTGCAGCTGACACACATTATAGCAAACCAAAAGCAGTGGTTCCCAAAACTCTTCTGCACACTGAAATCACTTGGGGATCTAAAATACACTGAGGGGGGCGCCTGGGTGGCTCAGTGTGTTAAAGCCTCTGCCTTCGGCTCAGGTCATGATCCCAGGGTCCTGGGATGGAGCCCCGAATCAGTCTCTCTGCTCGGCGGGGAGCCTGCATCCCTTCCTCTCTCTCTGCCTGCCTCTCTGCCTGCTTGTGATCGCTGTCTGTCAAATAAATAAATAAAATCTTAAAAAAAAAATACACTGAGGGCTGGGTCCTGACACCAAGGCATTCTGGTTTATTTGGTATGGGGTGTTACCTGGGCATCGGAATTTTGAAAAACACTCCCACCTCCAGATGATTCTAATCTTCAGGAAAGTCTGGGAACCACAGCAGGAGAGAACAGTGTGAATCATTTCGAATTGGGGAAGAGACATCCGGAAAGCAGGGAGGCTTGAACTGGGATTTGAAAGATGGTTAAAATTGAAGAAGCAAGAAACAAAAATGGGCTGACACTACTGGAAAGAGATGCAGTGTAAGTTAAAAGATAAAAATTAGGATGACTAATAAAGGAAAATAAGGAAACCAACTTGAAAAGTTCTTGCCAAGACTAGGGAAAACAAGGTTTCACAGATAAAGTGAATCCCTATTACAGTTGGTCCAGAAGCCAAGTAAAATATTTTGAACTTGACCTAGTGGGTAACCACTGTAGGTTTTTTAATAAAGGATGAAGTGATAAAAGTGGTGTTTAAAGAAAACCATTCCAGCAACAATACAAAAGACAGATTCAAATTGCAAGAGACTTGAGTCAGTGAGGTCTACTGAGAGGCCGTTTCAGTAATCCTGGTATTTGATAGGGTCTTCACTAGGGCAAGAGCTGTCAGAATTGAAAGGAAGACACAAATAAGGAAGTGTATTTTAAAGAAAAGAGAGGTCTTGGATCTTGGATATAGAAGCCAAAAAGATGAAGGAATTAAAGATAAATCCAAATTTAATGGGGAATGGGAAGTAGAAACTGATGTGTTTTTTCCACGTGTATATTAACCCCCAGCCCACTTTAAAATGGTCTGGGGGGCATGAGGCAGGTTTTGTTCTATTTAAGATGTCAACGTAGTATAAAAGAAAAAAGACACCAAATCATTTCCTTTAAATAATAAATGAATAATAATAATAATAATTGCATTGTGAATATAACACCAAAGATTCTCAAGGAAAATTGTTAAGAAAGTTTTTTTCTGCCCTCCCTCCATGTATACTCTTCATGGAAAAGAAGAAGAAAATCAGGTGGGAAAAAGAGGGCTTAGGCACTCAGAGTACAGACTTGTGACACTGTCCATACCCATTTCTCTGCCTCTTCCACATTCCTCAGTTCTGTGGGTCAAAAAAAAAAGAGTAGAAAGATGTCCAACCCTCCTTTATTCTGAGGGACCCAAGGATAGAGTGGAAGGGTACCCTCCTTTTTGCCCCCCATGATACATCAAGTCTTGTGATATCTCAGTCACACAGCTTTTGATGATGTTCCTATATCTTTACAGCCCTACAGAGGGGTTCTCAAGAAATTGAAGTTATTTGAGTTGGTGGCCCAAAGCAGTGTCAGATATGGTGATAAAAAAATTTGGCAGCAGAAAGTGACATTGGACCCTCAGTTCACACACTGTGTCATACCCCCAGAAACATCACAGCAAAAGAAAGAACTGATATTGATAATCAAAGCTGATGTCAAGAGGATTAAAAATCTCCGCCAATTACAGCTTGAAGCAGATCAAGACTGAGATACAGATGCCTCCCACCAATAATGCATCCTCTGCAGTGAAGGGAAAGAGTAGGAAATACCAAATAAAAAGTAAAAGTATAATATAAATATGTATATAAGTATATAACATAAATATTGAATATACATGAGTGGGAGATCACTGAATTTGATTGAGTTTAACAATTAAGAAATCATTAAAGTGACTGAGTTTTCCTAGAAGTGATTGGGTTGCTTTGTTACTATGAGAAGGAATAATGCATGAGATGAAAATATAATTACATTTTCATTATAGGAAAATAAGGAATGTTATATTTTACACATCTGAATTTTTACTCTTTGAAAATCATACTGACTTCATAAGGTTTTGAGCTAATATGACAGGAAGAATGGTAGCGCCAAGATGATGAGTCTTGCTTGGGGGCATGTCAATTTTAAGTAACAAGACAGGCAGTAGAAAATATGCTGTAGGTTGCTGGAATGCAAAACTAGAGCCAGCCTAAAAGATAAAGGCAAAGTTATAGGTTCATTCAGTAGTTATTAGAATGGAGGTGATAATTCCAGGCAGCGTGAATTTGCAAAGAAAAGCAAAGAGGGAAAAGCTCTGAACCTCTGAATCGCTCCTTTAGGACATAAAAGTGGGCTTTACATTTTAAATATTGGTGGAATTATTCAAGTATATAAAAGGACATGACATAAAATGTACACATTTTTTCCTGTGTCTTTTTCACTATTTGATTAAATTGAATAAATCATAGGAGTTTAGTAGGCTTGTATTTTTCAACTATTTATTTTATATATTTATACCAAATGTAAGTACATGGAGTAGGTAAGAAACCTCAGAAATGAAAATGCAGATTGCTAAAATACACGACAAAGGTTGAGAGATAAGGTTTAGAAAATTTCCCACAATAAAGAGGAAAAACAAAACAAAACAAAATCCAAAAGTTAGAAAATAAGAGAAAAACAATAGGAGATGTTTATAAACAAGTCCCAGGAGGTCCAACAACCAAAGAATAGGAGTCAGAAAGAGAGAGAAATAAGAGAAGAGAGAAGAGAGGTGAAAAGAGAAGAGAAGTGGGGGGAAGGGGAGAGGGAGGAGGGGAGGGGAGCAGGAGGGGAGAAGAGATGGGGGGAGGGGAGAAGATAGAAGAATAAAAATTATTTAAGAAATAATACAATTTCCCAAAGTAGTTTCTTGAGTGAATAATATTACATGTTTGTGGTATGATAATCTCTATTTATTGATTTTTATTTCACAAAATCCAACCACTGACAAGTCATAGAAAGTATCATTTTAATTCTAGAATAGAGCATAAATCCTATGAACCTTGACAATGTTTATACTGTAATTTAATACTGACAGTTTGAGATTTGAAGACAGAAGAAGAGACCCAATGTAAGTGTTGGAACCCAGCTGTCTTCACATTAAATAGCACAGAGGAAAGAGAAATTATTCCAAGATAACAGACTACAAAACAAAGTTTTAAGAATATTATTAAAAGTCTTACTTAATAGTAACCAACAGAAACCCTAGAAATAAGATTATATCTGACTAAATATGAGAGGCAGAGAAGATGGAAGGGGTAATACTGTGTGGCTAAGCAAAATTTCTATGACAGGTAGCCCCCAAGACAGTCCCCAATGACCCCTGCCTCTTGGTATCATAATCCTCTGTGTAATTCCATCCACTTGAGTGTAGACTGGACTTAATGACTCACTTTAAACAAACAGAATATAAGAAAAGTGATAAAAGGTCACTTCCTAGATTAGGTTATAAAGAGACTTCAGCTCCATCTAGGGGACTCAAGCTATCTCTTTCTCATTTTCTCTGAGAGAAGATAGCTATCATGCTGTGGTTCCCTCATGACATGGAACTGAGTGGGGCACCCAAACTTTGAGGGA